CAAATACCTCTATTGCTCTTTACCTAAATTGTTTTAGAGGAGCCTGTCCCATTGGTATTTTTCAAGCAATCACCTTGTTAGTTGCCTGAAAACCTACTGCTCACAGAATCCACCCATTTTGGGCTGGAAGCAGATTTAGAGTCACTTCAGTTTTTTCTAGCTTGCCTCTCCAGTACATGATTAGGAGATAGATTTCTTCTTCAACTTATTACACCTGTCTCCTTTCTTGAGGAGATTCTTCAAAGTCTCTTCTTTTGGAGAACTCCTTCAGTATGATCCAGTGTCTTTTCTGATTTCTACTTATATAATTTTGTTTAATTATCAGGGATTAGAATGAAAGAAAAGATGTGTCAGCATATTCTCTGTCCTCAATCTTGATACAATCTTTCTACGTTTTATTTTTATTTATGAGTTTGGTAAATAAAAATATAAACTCTCTCAGCTATATTGCAAGTTTTTTGAGGACCTATTACTATAGCGGGCCCTCAGACATATTTATATTTCTCACAATTTAATACTTGTTTGTTTAAGTCTCCCCTTTATCTAACCTGCCTTTGGCGGTTTCTACCACATAACCTACCTGTTGTATGTGTAGGAAATACATTTTTGTTTTAAATATGAGCCTAAGTTAATGACAAGAGGAACTAGACATAATTAATATTCATAACAAAAATAGTATTTTTTGAAGACTTGCGATATACCGGCTTGAACCTAGGCACTTTATATGCGTAGTGTTATTATCACTATTTTATAGATGAGGGTACCAAAGCATGAAGATGACAAATAACTTACTCAAAAACTAAACGAGAAGTGAGGTGCAGAGGGAAGATTTAAACTAAGTTTTACTCCAGAGCCTGTGCTCTTAAGCATCGTACTAACTGCTTCCTGTAAAGGTATATTTTCTGGATTTCAAAGACAAATAGCTGACGGGCATTATCCATGACTTTTATGTTATATGTGAGAATATGTGGCATAAAGCTAAAACTAGACTTAGTATTTTTTGTTGGTTATTGAATTAGAATAGAAATAACCACTATTGTCTTTCATTATTGTCTGATAAAGTTGACGAGAGACACTTTGTATTTCCTTTTAACTACAGGTAATAGTGTTACAGACTTACTACAGACAATGGCATGCTAAAATCGTGGTAGAGAATTTAAGAAGACAAAAAATGATAAGATTGCAGTGGGAAGAACAGGAAGAACTAAAAAAGATAAGAGAAAAAGAAGAATGGATGAAATTGGACTATTACCGGAGGCATAATCCTCAAACAAAAGAAGATTTTGAACTTCTTTATAATGCACTAGAGCGTAAGTTTGAAATAGGCCTTACATAAAATATTAATTTTATAATTTTATTAGTAGGAAAAACAGTTTTACTAAAGACAAAAGGAAGACATTATTTTAGGAGAATATCTTGGCAATCTGGACTAGACAATTTAAAAAGATGACACAGGAATTAAAGCTGGAATGAAATTGGAAATGCTTTTATGTTAGCAATGGGTAAATTATTCAGTTTTAGTATATCATCTCATTTGACCCTCATCCCTGTGAGATACGGAGAGAGAGTGTCGTCCAACATGGTTCCCTGGTGGCCTTGAGAATTCATGGACTCAGAGCTGAGCTCTCTCCAGTTTCCCAGTCCAGCCTGCTGTCTCTGTTTCTGCTCCTCAGAGGAAAGCTTGGCAATACCTTTTAATTCCCTTCCATTAAGGACAGTATGTGTAACTTGTCTACACGTTTGACTTTTATGCCGCCATTCTTCCATAGGATGTGTGCTAGTCTTCGACACAATTAAAAGTTTGTTTCTCAAACAAGCCAAGCACTCAGGGCAGTAGATACATTGTTCTTTTTTTTTTTTTTTTAATTTTTATTTTTTAATTAAGTTGACATTCAGTATTATTTGATATTAGTTTCAGGTGTACAGCATAGTGGTTAGACATTTATATAATTTATGAAGTGATCCTTGCCCAATTAGTCCAGTACCCACCTAGCACTATACATAGTTATTATAATATTATCGACTGTTTTTCGTGTGCTGTACTTCACATCCCCGTTACTGTTTTGCAACCAACAATTTGTACTTCCTTATCCCTTCACCTTTTTCACCCAGACCCCGACCCCCGCCTGTCTGGCAATCACCAGTTTGTTCTGACACTGTTGTTGTAGTCTTTTCCCATTGTTCACTTTCTAATCTCAGTTTAAATGTCACCTGCTCAAAGGCTTTTGTGACTGACAATACGACTTGTATATCCTATTGTCATCTCATGGTTCTCATTGCATCCCAAACTTTTCACATATATCACTATAATTTGTAATACATCTTTTGTTTAACATTAATTTTCACCACTAGATTGTAAGCTCCGAGAGAGAATAACTGATTTTTTTTTAATGATCTCTTTATCTGTGCTTAGCTCACATCCCAACAAATCTTGATAGACAGAATGAGAAAATGAATGAAGGGAAAACCTAGGAATATAGTAATGCAGCTACCTTTAGCTTCTCATTTCCCAGGAGTACCTGCTAAAGTGGAAGTAACTGGCACAGAAACTGAAGTTGGGCTCTTGTGATGACATAGAAGAATTTTAAAAATTAAAAATAACCTTAATATTTTTTTCATTCAAACAGGATCTTTTTATCCAAAGATAACATAGCAGTCCTCGACTTCTCTATGATGATTCATAACATTAACTTTAAGCAATTTTTTTTCTATAATTTGTTTTTTATATATTATTTGCGGATATTATTATGTGTTCTGTTACTCAAGTCATTGTTTCCTGTCTAATTGAATACAATTTAAGATATCAAATACCTTTGTGATAATATGCTATTACTGAAAATACAATTTCCATTTTCTCTGTCAGATGAAAACAAAGGTTATTTCTAAGTGTCAGTAGTTAAATAGAGAGCACTGTTAGCAAGGTGTCTGTGAAAGATCTTACTGACAAGTGAAAGACTAAAGTTCTGTTAGAGCAGAACTCTATTCAAATAATATTTCAAATTCATATGTGAATAAACCAATGGATACTATTGTTGGTCTATTGGGTTAAGAGGCAGCTGGGCAAAATACGAAATATGCTGAAGGAGGTTCTACCTTGTCTATTTATTAGTGGTGTTAACTTATACAAGTTACCCACTTTTCCTAAGCCTCAGTTTCTTTATAAAAGGACTTAATTTCTGGCACATCTACTTCAGAGTGCTTTATAAAGTGAAAAATGCAAAATATTACATTTATGAAAGTACTTTGAAAAGTACAAAGACCAATGCATATATACATTATTGTCATATGGTAAATAATTTCATATGGCTTTCCTGTATTAAAATAGAACAAATATATTTTATACGTCTATACGTTTTATATGGAAATGAAATTTCTTACATAAAAATGAAAATGAAAATGAAAATGAAATTTCTTACATAAAAATGGCATCTCTAAGTTTTCTTCTAGTTCTAAAATTCTAAATTGAAACTCTTAGAATGATTATTATCAAGCTTCTTTTGTTGTAGTTAACATTTCTGGTCACATGCTTAATAATTTATATCTCTCTTTTATTTAATGTAGTTTTTCAGTCCATCTTCTTAACACCAGTATTGGAAACTGCTGCCCTCTTGTGGCTCGTAGTGATAACTGTGTAGTTTGAATTACGACTCCTAATACGAAGTTTAACTTTTCTTCTGGATAATCTGTCCCTCAGTTATAAAAGCAAAATGATATCAACTTAAGAAAATGAATTCGACTGTATGAGATAATATGGTATATCAAAGATAAGACTATATCCAGGCAACAATGTTTGATTTTTATGTCTTTTTAAAAATTTATTTTCAGCAGTGTATTTATGGAAACTTCCTTCGTTGATCTAAATTGTCACTCTTATTTTAGACTCAACACAGGGGTTATCATCTTTAGGAAACCACTCTCGATGGCATGGATTGAGTCCAGAACCTCTTTTCTTTGCCCCATACTTTTCTGTACATACTACTCTCTTAATTGCCCACCTTTGTATGTGATAGGCACCTGATAGGACCTTGCTCAGTACATATAGTGTTTGTTGAATTGAATCTTCTAACCTTTTGCTTTGTTTTGACTTACGGTAACTGTGTTTTCTGACTCATCTCTAATTATTACCTCTTGATCTCAAAGTACCTTGACTCCTAACTTCTGGAGACTCCCTGGGCCCAGTCCATTGACATATCCGGCCCTGGGCTTTCAGTCTGAATCTTTCTTGGTTCTCACCATTCAAGCTTCCAGTCTGTGATGAGAATTTTAAAAAGCAGATGCTTATAAACTGCCAGTGGCAGAAAAAATATTGTATGTTCTGCTATTTCTTGTTTGTAAATTGCAAGTTTAGATCTCAGAAATTTTGGAATGTGTATGGACTTTAGATACCAGACCTGTCTCTTCATTTTATAGTTAAACTTTAGACTCTGGAAATTAAGTTATTTGTCCAAGAAGGTAAGTTAATTAAGGAGATAAATATATTCTTTCAAATGAACCAATTCCTTTAATATCTTTTTCTTTTAAAATATTGGTGGCTGTTGACATCTGTTATAAGCTGAATTGTGTTCGCCCAAAATTCATATTGAATTTCCAATTCCTACTACCTCAGAATGTGACTGTATATAGAGATAGGGCCTTTAAAGAAGTAATTAAGAAGAAGCGAGGTCCTATGAGTGCGACATAAGCCGGTATGACTGGTGTTCTCATAAGAAGAGGAGATTAGGACTCAGACATGCACAGAGGGAAGATTATATGAAGACCAGAGAAAGATGATCATCTATAAGCCCAGGAGAGTGGTCCTCAGAAGAAATTAGCCCCACAGTCACTTCTAGCCTCTAGAATTGTGAGGAAATAAATAAGTACCACAGTCTGTGGTACTTTGTCATAGCAGCCCTAGCAAACTAATATAGCATCCCCAGTTTTTTTTTAATCATCTGTAGGGAACATATATTTTATGAAAGGGGCAGAATCTCTCTTGTTTTCCTCAATGTCTTCTATATATAGTTCTGAAAACTGTCAAATCAGATATAAAATTAGTTTTGTCCAGCTGCTTCTGATTCCTGTGTTTTTCTATTTCCTATTAGTAGTTGGGACATGAAATTTTTCTGATGGCATGTTCCATCTCTTATTATAGATTTATGGGGAGATTGTTCATCTGATGGAGAATTTAATTGGAATTAAGGCCTATTATTTTCATTTCTAATTGGCTTCTTTGGGATGTTCTCATTTTAAAAGTCATAATGTAAGCAAAATGTAAAACTTGAAAATACATAAATATGTGTATTTGAAAGTACATATGTATATATCCAGATTCACTCAGTACTTATTATTAATCTAGGAGAGCAATATCTTGCTCTTTGAGATTGGCAGACTAGTTTAAATAATATCCTGATGGCCTAAATTTATTACCGGTCTTGAAGGTTTCTAATGTAAAACTGGGAAATAAAATAGGCTTACTAATATCATTCAATTTTTATTTGCTTTCTGGAAACATCCATATAGTATCATGAGATAAATATTCTCAGTTATTATTTCCACAGGCAAACAATTTTTGTTTTCATTCATATTCTACCTTTTGGTATATGAATCTTGTTAAATTTTTGAAAGTTCTTTCAGTTTGTAAAACTTCTTTTAAATGATAGACACATCAATCATGGATTTCCTGAACGTCCATAACATAATTTAGCTCTTAAATTTACAAATCTTTTTGGACTGAGCAAGTTATACAGTGTCTAAATGATGTATTCCTGGTAAGGGACAAAGTGGATTCTTATAAAGAACATGACTGGCAAATTCTTGATCTGTTCAGGATGATTTCAAATTGAAATTTAAGAGGAAGAAGAAATAGTCTGATAAAACTATAAAACTAGATGTTATGAAAGGCAATGATTATAATGGAAGAGGATCAGAAATAACACTTCAGATGTTTACATTTCAGTGCAGAGACTGGTGTTAAAGTAAACCTGACATTTGACTGGAAGAAGGAAAATATAATTTCTAATTATACATACATGTAATATGTTCTGCAATATCTCTGTAACACAGTGAGAAAAGTAATCATGTCTGGAACATAACAAAGGAAGAGTACATTTTACTTCATTGAATCATATCTAATAGAAGATAAGAGGAAGTAATCTTAATGTCAAGAAGAGGTCTACCCAAAGGAAGTCTTTAAACCTAATGATCAAAAGTGTGAGGCTTTTGGGTAAAGATAAATGGAAAGAGAAGAAGAAATGCTGTTCTTGTAGAAGGATTTTCCTGTCTTTCTCACTTTTGTATGTACCATTAAAACTTACAGAGTTCCTTTCACGTAATACTTGCTCAAAAATTGTTGTTGAGTGTTTTGAACTGGCAAAGAAGTGATAGGGTTTTGGCAGGTATAATTACCAGATCAATGAACCAGGTTTTTTAAAGTTCAGAGGAAAAATAGTTTTGATCCTATGGCCCCAGTTTTTTTTAATCATCTGTAGGGAACATATATTTTATGAAAGGGGCAGAATCTCTCTTGTTTTCCTCAATGTCTTCTATATATAGTTCTGAAAACTGTCAAATCAGATATAAAATTAGTTTTGTCCAGCTGCTTCTGATTCCTGTGTTTTTCTATTTCCTATTAGTAGTTGGGACATGAAATTTTTCTGATGGCATGTTCCATCTCTTATTATAGATTTATGGGGAGATTGTTCATCTGATGGAGAATTTAATTGGAATTAAGGCCTATTATTTTCATTTCTAATTGGCTTCTTTGGGATGTTCTCATTTTAAAAGTCATAATGTAAGCAAAATGTAAAACTTGAAAATACATAAATATGTGTATTTGAAAGTACATATGTATATATCCAGATTCACTCAGTACTTATTATTAATCTAGGAGAGCAATATCTTGCTCTTTGAGATTGGCAGACTAGTTTAAATAATATCCTGATGGCCTAAATTTATTACCGGTCTTGAAGGTTTCTAATGTAAAACTGGGAAATAAAATAGGCTTACTAATATCATTCAATTTTTATTTGCTTTCTGGAAACATCCATATAGTATCATGAGATAAATATTCTCAGTTATTATTTCCACAGGCAAACAATTTTTGTTTTCATTCATATTCTACCTTTTGGTATATGAATCTTGTTAAATTTTTGAAAGTTCTTTCAGTTTGTAAAACTTCTTTTAAATGATAGACACATCAATCATGGATTTCCTGAACGTCCATAATAATTTAGCTCTTAAATTTACAAATCTTTTTGGACTGAGCAAGTTATACAGTGTCTAAATGATGTATTCCTGGTAAGGGACAAAGTGGATTCTTATAAAGAACATGACTGGCAAATTCTTGATCTGTTCAGGATGATTTCAAATTGAAATTTAAGAGGAAGAAGAAATAGTCTGATAAAACTATAAAACTAGATGTTATGAAAGGCAATGATTATAATGGAAGAGGACCAGAAATAACACTTCAGATGTTTACATTTCAATGCAGAGACTGGTGTTAAAGTAAACCTGACATTTGACTGGAAGAAGGAAAATATAATTTCTAATTATACATACATGTAATATGTTCTGCAATATCTCTGTAACACAGTGAGAAAAGTAATCATGTCTGGAACATAACAAAGGAAGAGTACATTTTACTTCATTGAATCATATCTAATAGAAGATAAGAGGAAGTAATCTTAATGTCAAGAAGAGGTCTACCCAAAGGAAGTCTTTAAACCTAATGATCAAAAGTGTGAGGCTTTTGGGTAAAGATAAATGGAAAGAGAAGAAGAAATGCTGTTCTTGTAGAAGGATTTTCCTGTCTTTCTCACTTTTGTATGTACCATTAAAACTTACAGAGTTCCTTTCACGTAATACTTGCTCAAAAATTGTTGTTGAGTGTTTTGAACTGGCAAAGAAGTGATAGGGTTTTGGCAGGTATAATTACCAGATCAATGAACCAGGTTTTTTAAAGTTCAGAGGAAAAATAGTTTTGATCCTATGGCCAGAATACAGTTCATGAGACTGTGAAACTTCATCATTCTGTAATAATGTAATCATAAGTTACTCCATATAAGAGGAAAGAATCAGATGACTGATTAAGTAAATGAGGCTCTCTAGACTAAACAAGCTAATAAATTCACATTGAAAAGGACTGTGTACAACCGAAAGGGTGACACATTTTTGAGGGGTGGAGAGCAGTTAAGGGTGTGGGCCATGGAGCCAGAGTCCGAGTCCGGGCTGCACAATGGGCAAGTTACACAGTCTCTTCTTGTTTCCTTTTCTGTAAAATAGCCAATGATAGTAGTGCGCATTCGTTGGTTTGTCAGGAGATTAAATGAGCTCATATGCATGTAGCACTTAGGACAGAGCCTGGCACGTGGTAAGCAGTATTACATGGTGTCAGCCGTCATTATTTTGGTCTTGTTTAATTAGAGGGGACTAGGAATTGGGAGGAAAACAGGAGATGAAGTAAATAGTATGGTTGAAAAAAAAGATTTGTTTTCAGTACAGCTGTAAGAACAGAAAGGAAGTTTAAAAAGATCTAGCTATACCTTGAAACCATGGTTCTTGTGTCTATCAGGAGAGAAGAAAGTGAGACATGTGTAAGAAAAGGCTGATGTAGTGGGGCCAGAGTAGTCAGCATATTCTGGCATGAGGGCATCTTGAATGAAGCTGAAACTGTAAACCTGCCTGGTTGGAGATGGGCCTGCTGCCTATGAAGAGGAATCCACAAGCATGCTTACTCAGAGGCATAAGTTGACATTATCTGTACTGATTTCCTTTGGCTTCTGTTTGTTTGACTACTTTTATTGCTTTAAGTCTCTCAGCTTCTATTTTATCCTATTTTTTTTCATATATCAAGTGTACAATATGAATGATTCTATTCATGTATAATTTTATTTAAATTGATGCAAAAATAAAATACTGTTTGTCAGGATATGATGGTAAAAATACTCTTAAGATGTTGGATTTTAAAAACTCAAGAGTCTTTCATGTTATTCCTCTAGTCTGGCGGCAAGAAGAACAGGCGCACATTAACCAGTCTTTCACTGGAGCTGAAAGGAAAGCTGCTTTGTGTGAACTTCTGGAAAAAGAGACCCAATTAATTGCTTCCATTGGGAGACATAGATACATTGCTTACATGGCAAACCAGGAAGCATTAATACAAGCTTTTTTGGATAAGGTCAGTGAAGTAACAATTATTTAAATATGAATGTCTCCTGAGTTAAAAAATGTAAAATAACGAATTAAAAGGAATTTACATATTAGAATTTGCATCAATTTCATTTACTATTTTGGTGACATATTTCTTTAAATTCTCTATATTTTCTTCCTTTCTTCTGATACAGCTTTAGATTTTAACTGCATCCTAGAATAATGATTGACAAGTAACATGAAATTGACATGCTCTTAACAAAAGGGATTTGGCCATGAAGGAAAAAATGGAATCACTTTCCTTATGACTCTGTTCAGATTTAGGCTGGATGTAGAAATTTAGGCTGGCTCCAGATGAATTACACATATTGATAAAATGGTGTAGTGAAGTCACAAAAAGTCTAGTCTGTGGTGCCTGCACAGTAAGCAACCTGGAGAAAATAGCTATAGACTAGTGTTTTTGCTCTAGCTCACCAGTCATTAACTGATTGGAAGTTTCTGACCAAAAGGATATATGATTATTGAAAACCATGGCAACATACAATTAAGGGAAAAACTAAAATAATTACCCTTACGTGGTGAAAATGCTTGTTTGATATTGAAGAGCTTGTTTCCATAGTGACCAATTTCCTTTTATAAACCTGTTCTTTTCAAATAATTAAAAGGCAACCAGCCACAAACAGAAAAGGGATGGAGTTCTTGAAGATATTTACCTGTAGTGATTCCAGTTGTGTGATTCTTGTTATTTGAGAACATTTGTCTCAAAAACTACATGTTTTTTTATAGTATTAATGCCCTCCTTTTATCTTCTTGTACATTCTCCTGTTTGATGTCAGTTTTTCTTGTGGCTTTAACTACCACCTGAATCCTGGAATTCTCTACAGTTCCAGGACAGATCTCTCTTAGGAGCTTCCAAAATCACATACCCAGTCGCCTCCTGTCATTGCTCTTTGGCTGTCCCAAGAGTCCATCTCGAATTGACAGGCCAACCCCTAAATCATATCATCTCTCCGTTCCTTCACCCCTCACCTCCAAACTGATTCTGCTCTGTAACATTCACATAATTTACCTCTATGACTGTTTTATCACCTACTCAGTTGCTTCAGGCAGAAACCTGGGGTTATTCTTGACATCCCATTCAGCCACCAACCTCTTTGTTCTATTACTTTAATAAAATCTCCTCAGTTCTTTACTTCTGCATTTCTAACTCACAGTCAGCGCCTGTGGGGAAATTGGTGTGTCACGGCATCCTGATGACCGTGCATGTATCCAAATAGGCCATATAGGCAAAGACTTAACTGCAGCTTATCTCAGTCTCGGTGAAATGCCTGTGATCCTGCGGAAACATGGAAAGGTGAGAGGCTTCTGAGGAGATGCTGTGGGAGCTTCCTCTTTCTTGCTTCCCTTTCTCAAGTTAAGCCTTGAGAAAGGGAGGCTGTCATGAGACAGGTCTTGTCTTGCATATGTGTGTGAGCTTAACACTGATGTAATTGAATCTGGATTTCCTCCTCATCTGGATTACTTTATGTCTCCAAATTAGGCTCTCGCCTCCAGTCTCACTTCTCAATTTCCTTCTCCATCATCCATATCACTGCCGCTGCCATAGTGACCTTGTTAAATATCACCCCTGGGAGGCTGTCATGAGACAGGTCTTGTCTTGCATATGTGTGTGAGCTTAACACTGATGTAATTGAATCTGGATTTCCTCCTCATCTGGATTACTTTATGTCTCCAAATTAGGCTCTCGGCTCCAGTCTCACTTCTCAATTTCCTTCTCCATCATCCATATCACTGCCGCTGCCATAGTGACCTTGTTAAATATCACTCTGTTCCTGCCCCTCCTCACTGCCTTCAGAGAACCAGGATTTTCATAATTGACTCTCAGCACACCTTACCCAACTGTCATCTCCCCTCACATACTACAGCCACACCGCTCTCGCCATCTCAATTACTTGTACATCCTCAGAAAGGTCACGTGCTCTTGCTGCTTTTGCATCTGGTGTTGCCTCTACTTGGAACATCCTTTCCTTCCTTCCTCAGTAGCCAGCTACTCACTCTTCAAAGAAGCTCAGATGCCCCTTGTTCCAGAAAGGATCCATTGACCCTCCTGCTTTAGCCTGTACCATATGCTTTCATGAGATTCTGTTTTACTAGTCTCATAGTACATCGGGGTCATTTTTTTCTTTGTATTTACATGTCTGAATCCTTCCTAGATTCTGAGCTTCCAAAGGCAAGAGCTATCTTTATCTCTGGATCTGCATATCCTAGCACAACACTTACCACAGAATATCGATGAATGCATGTGGAGGAAGGCAGGGAGGAAAAATAAGGGACAAAAGTAATTGCTGTGTAATTTTATATTTTAGATATTATCAATAAACTATGCAATGTCGATGTTGTTCTCTCAAATTTTTGAGTATCTTCATTTTAGAAAAAATGAGCCTACTGTATGGAAGCCATAATATTCCTACGTCTCTAGAGTCATATTTCAAACAAACTTATTCCATTAGCAAGTTACTTTATCTTGAATCTAGCTTCATCACTGGGAACTATGTTCATTATGTGTTTGATTGTTAATCTCACCAAAGAGGACAGCATGGACCTAAGGTGTGAGCGTTTGGAAGAGCCGGGGGCCCCTGAGGTGCCAGTGGACAGGAAAGATGGGCTGCTCCTTCTGTAGGATTTCCCACTTGGGCTTTCTCTGCTGCTATGTTTCCTACAAACTATTTTAAATTCTTCTGGTAAACACTTATACAGTATCTATTCTTCTTCATACCTTTACACTCGCCCTGCCCCCCCACCCTAGGCTTCATCTCTAGCATTGTCTCTAAACATTTTTTGAAATGTAAAGAGTCCAAAAGTAGATCAAGTCCCCATATGTAATAGCGACACTGGAGCCAGTTGAAGACCAGTACTCTCTCATGAAGCATAGCACTCTATGAAGGTCTTTAAATCTCACCAACAAAAGGTGAGATGGGCAAATTTCATTCATAAGAATTCTGGTGAGGAAGGAAATTATTATTTTTTTTCAATACTCTGGTAGGTTGTTGGGATTGGATTGGAGACCCTGACGGATCTCAGTGAAGGAATTGTTACTCTGTGCCAGAAAAATGGACGTTTCTGACTATGGCTGGGAGAGAAAGAAAGTAGAGTGAGGAGACAGTTGGGAGGCAGTGAGGTACCATGCGGCTTCGTGTGACTTCTTTAGTTTATTTATTACTGAATAAATAAATATTAAGTACCAGGGGTTATTTTGGGGGTAAGAGGAGAGGAAGTGAGAGAAACATCTGGGCCTTCATGTCCAGGGCGTTCGGGGCAGCACACAAAGGTGCAAGACCAGAAGATTGAGGCAGGGCGGGAAAGTGAGCTACAAGAACTGGTAGCTATCAAGGGAAAGGCTTTTCGTAGGTCATAGGTTTTAGAATTGGAGTTTTAAATCTGCATTTACCCCAGCTGATCTCCCAGGTCCCCAGGTTAAGATTTAGAGGAAATGGACATTTTAGCTGATATGAGGGAATTTTAGCTCGTTTTTGACAGAAGTGTTGTATGGGGCAAGGAAAACATAACCACAGAATGGAGTAACTGCACTCGAGGTCAATCCCCAGTCCATTGCATAGCCTAATTGGTCCACTTTTAAAAAATGTTGACTAAGAATGACTTTTGGCCTGCTTTTAACCTGTTATAGTAAATTATAAAATCTTTGTTGTTTGAATACAAAATCATTTTAATCACCTTTTTGTATATGATACCATACTAAACATCATAGAAAACAATTAAGATAGACTTTATAGTCTTTTGTTGTAAATACTTATACAGTATCTATTCCTCCTTATGCTTGTCCACCTTCCCCCCTACCCCACTCCCACGGCTAGCATTGTCTCTAATATTCAGGAGGAGTCAGTGTTGATTTCATAAATCTTGAATTAACTTATTAATCTAGTTTTTTTGATTGCTAAGAGAAAAATAGCTTAGAACTGACCAACAACCAGAGCCACGATGCAGATTTTAAGACCCACATTTAGCACCATAATATATAGCTATGCAAAGAGAATATTTACTTTCCCGTAATATGGAAATAACTTTATAGAATAAAATTTTATATTTTAGTTTTGGTTTAAGTACACTGAATCTAAATATTATGTGGATTATTGAACTAAATTTTATTTTTTATCTTTTAATGCTGAACATAGAATTTCTCTGGGTAATGAATGATATGATTTTAAATTAGCCTAATCAAGGCATTAAACCAATTAGTTATTATGTATTCTATACTAAGCCTTCATCCTCCCTAAAAGGCTTTTTTGAAGCATTAGTTAAATAATTTGTATTTTTAACACATCAAAAATGACTTCCACATGTTATCAAATGTTAAAAACTTGAAAGGTAACAGAGGTGAAGATTTTCAGGTCAAGAGATTTGAATTAAAAAATCATTAGCCATTTTCTAATATACTTGGGTGTTTTTTTTACCCAAACTGTGTAAAGAGACCATTTGAATTTCTGTAAGAAGCTTTCCCTGGAGTCAAGGCCATTTATTTCTTTGATTCTCTTTGAGTTGCACACCACTTCTTATAATCACAAGCTTAAAACCTAGAACCCATGTTTGCTATGTTATTTAAATGTTTTCTCTCAGTACTCAGGTAGCAAACAGCTAATGGGACAGAAAAATGCAACCGACTCTTGCCTTTCTCCGAGCACCACAGTACTCAGGGATGTCTCCTGGGAACAAACAAAACCCCTTTGCTGTGTAAAAGAAAATATTACCACTACCCAGTAGCTTTTGGGGAGTTGAGGTTATTCTTAATTTGTACCCTTAGGGACTTGAGTATGAAGTTGGGAGGAAGAATGACTGTACTCCTTTCTTCTCTTTTTGGAAGCCTGCTGCTCTCCAGGATTTTATGTCTCCACCTTCCCTCCCTGAAATGTATCCTGCTGTTCTTCTGTTTCTCTCCTCCAGACTCCGCACTGCCTCATTTGTTGGCAGCTAAATGGAATTTATTACACTCTCATTTTCTGAACCACTTTAAGAACATGATTGTTGCACATCTCTTAGTACAGCTAGAGCATTCAAAGAAAATAGGAAATAAAAAGAGATCAGCAAGGTTGACATTTTCCATCAGAGTTAAAAAAACACCTTCAGGCCTGAAATCAAAGAATCCTAGGTTTGGAGACCGAATTATCAGTGTCGAAAGAAATATATATAAGTATAAAAAAGCTTTGCCAAACAGAATTTTAATATCGTCTCAGTGCCAACACTAGGGAACTTGAACTTGAAATCTAGGATTCTTTGTATCACTCAGTTCCCTTTACTCTGGCTAACTCCTAGTTTCTCTGCAGGTTTCATTTTAGGTAGTGTTTTCTTTTCACCAGTGCTTCCTTAGCAAGCTGCTGTTACCTATTTACCTGCAATCATCAAGCATGATCACCTTTATTTTAGTTACTTATTTTCTTATATTTACATTCCAGTTGATATGAGAGTTCTTGAAATCAGGATAGCATTTTATCTACTCGATACCTAGTACACTGACTAATATGTAGTAAACACAGTAAATAGTTGACCAAGTGAATGAGTACTGTATGCCCTGTGAAATATACAGAACTACCTGAGAAATCGATTCTTATAATCTTTTGGGAGAAGTAGAAATAACAAACATGAAATAATTATAGAAGAACTTGAACCCAAATTTAATTGTTATGAGTGATTGAAATAGAAACACTGCATGTGTGTGTGTGTGTCTGTGTATTTACAAATACAACAGGATTTCACATGCTAGTGATTTTATTGGTTCAAACCATAGTTGTTAGGAATCTTAATAGAAAAGGTAGGGTTTGAATTAAAAATTAAAGGATGGTAAGGTTTAAGATGTCGAATATGTTTGGAAAAATCCAAAATATTACCATAGCATACTATATTAGATAGGGCTAAAAACTTGGAGAGAAGGTAGAGTTAAATCAACCCATTATCTGAAAAAAACACAATGAAGATTAACTAAGCATTTCATTAAAAGGTTATCATAGTTGGATTATTATTACAAATGAAATAAGTTACCAGCCTGGAGAGCAAAAGGTATTGTCCACATTACTGGAAAAAAGGAAATTACATTTAATGGAGCCACCGTGAGAAAAATTGCATGGTAAATTAGTTAGACTTTAGAATATTGCAACATGAAACTTAGCCTAAAATTGCTTATTCTTTAAAACTTTTGAAAAGAACTTTGAAACAGGCATTAAACTTAAAAAGCACTCTGAGGCCTACCCCAAACAAGACTGTATGTATTTAAAACAAATATTTTTTTATGTCTAAGTGATAATAATTAAATGATAAAATACTTTATTATTATTTTTTATTTTATTTTATTTTTTTATAATTTTTTTTTTCTAGGCGAGGCAACCCTTGGTTGACCTCACAGATTACAAGGACTTTGTCAGCTTACAGTCCCTGATTTTTTTTATTTTTTACACCTACAGCACCTGGTCTTCCTATAAAATACTTTATTATTGAGCTATTTCCATTTTATAATCCTTAATAAAATTTACTTACTTCTATCAGCCCACTAATTAACAATATATTATTTAATATTAGACTTATGTTTTAAAAACATAAATGAATTATAGAGCTGCAGCTTCTCATTTGCTGAATCTAAACTAGGACTGAGAATCTAAAGTTTCTGATCATTTTGGCTTTGATCAGAAAATGATGCCATATCTTTGAAAGCATATCAAATATAGTTGTTTTTAAAGGTAACTTTGTAGTTCTCAATGTAATTCAGCTAATATGAAATGTAAAATAATTATGAGTAAATTGACACTAAAAATTCCCCATAAGCTGTCATAATAAATACAGACATATTATTTCTTAGTGTGGCTAATCTGCTTTTCTGATGATTTGTTCCAATACATGGGCTTCTATTTAAACTTTAAATTATATCAAATCTAAGATCGAAATGGTCGCAAGTATGTGCGGCATAAATTGGATTACAGATCTCCAAAGCAATTACCAATCAGCCTGCAAAAATTCCTATACTTGAATAGTTAATACTCGTGATAACTTAGCCTTGTTTCTGATAGATCAGGGAGAGACACTGATCTACTTTATATCATAAAATAGAAGAGCAAATTGTGAGTTGTTGCTGTGAAATTTCCAGGTGAGTGCATCTTAAAGGAGAGAACACAAGCAGTGGCAAACACAAACTTAATAATTGTCATTGAAAATTGTGCTTGTGTCCTGAGTCTGCAGAGGGCTTCTTGCTCTACCTCCTGTGTCTGGTCTCTGAATTCTTAGCCTGGGAGTACTCAGATGAGCTTCAGGCAGATGAACTCCATTTATAACCCTTAGTTCAGGAGGTGGGATAGTACCATGCAAGATTTGGGAATAGGAGGTAAGGATCTTAGCCATCATCGTGGAGGCAGGGTCCACAGCACGGCTAAGATAGCTAAATAAAGCTATTTCATTGTGGACATCTACTTTGTGAAGGACTATGGATTTATTTTTATAGGAAACAAAACCATAGCTCACAGAGTCTCTTTTTGCTGTGTCTTTAGGTCTTTAGGTCTAACACCGAGGATTACAACAACTGCTCCACAAAGTTGTCTTCAACTGGGAAGGCATGATCAAGACACATTTATACAACTCATTTAATTGAACCAAGCAGATAATTTTTAAAAACCTTCTAAATAGCATGTTTTTTCTCCCAAGGGAGTAATGAGTTATTTCATGTACCCTGCAAGCCATTCAGTTTACTAGCTAGTACTTATATAGACTAAACAGTTCTCTCATATTTTTTTTCCCCTAAAATGTCTTACTTTTTCATGGTCTACAAATTCTTCAATTAATTTTCTTAAGTTTTAGTGATACTTTTATTCATACAACACGTGGTATTAGGATAAACTTTCAGTAGAAGGGACAAAATTATTTTTTAGCCTTTAATTAACTGATAATTATAAACGTATTATTTTTAAGTGTTCAGCTCCAAAGATATGGAGAAGATTTGATGGCAAAATAGTCGAGATGGATACACAGTTCACCATCAGAGCCAGAGAGCTGCAGAACATCTACAAATGCATTATGCTGAAAAATATCTCTCAAGATGAGAGGCTGGACGTACTCTTAACACTTAAACATACTGTGAAGGTATGTTAACTTTCTTTTAGTTCTGGGGTTTCACTATCACTATCAATAAAAAAGTTGAATACTAAAATGAGCAATATGTTTTGTATTAAGTAATTATAAATATGATTAATAAATGTTTAAATAAGAATATTATTTTGTTAATAATTGTTTTGGTATAATTTTGAGGATATGGTTTATGCATTAATATTTAAAAGTTCTCAAACTATATGTTATGACACAAAATAAATGTAAATATAGCTCAATGAATATTCTAAATGCAGAGACAGCCTTATCTTTGTAATGAAGCAAGTATATGCAAATATATAACACGGGCTTAATACTGAGTTCAACAAAACAGCAACTATTGTCTATACATTTTGACACTTCAATGAAAATTTTATTTTCAGCAATTTTAAAGCAGCATCAGTGTAAGTATTTTTATCTTTTTTTCTCATTAATTATTGATTTTCTGTGTTTTAGTTATGCTCTTAATGAAAATGAAGCCAGTGTCACAGGTCAAGTTCCCAAGGAACAAACTCTGAAATATGGGGATTTGTGTGCAGGAAGTTTATTGGAGAGTGCTCTCAGGGCTAACTCTTGTGAGGAAATAAAGGATGGTCAGGTGGAGAAACTAAACTCTGTTCAAGTCTCAACAATGATTTCAGCCAATCTCATAGGGAACTCTGAAACTGGGAAGGCTTTTGAGTTGTCCCGGTTTGAGGCAAGAGGCTGCGAGTTTTTACTCCCACATTGACTGACCATTTACTAGATGTGGGTTGCCCTCGGGAAGATGTGACTTTGGGTGAGGCATCTCTCTTTCAGAAGTCAGTTCTCAGAAAGGAACTCAGGCGAGAGTGTCAGCCAGCAGTGTATCAGGAGTGGGGGAATGAGTACTTCAGGTCTGGACACAGCACACACTACATGTGCTGCTGTTTGGACCCACTGGCTTCATGGTATAAGTTTTGGGAGAAGCTTCTCTGGATTCAGATAGGCCCCCTTTTCCTGGGGAAAATTATAAGAGCAAGGTTGCCGAAATAACTGCAGCGCCTATTGTCATTGTCTTTAAGGCCACACAATACTCCCATTTTAGATTTCCTCAGCTAGCACCTTGACTGATCTAGGTGGCCTATCTGTTGGATAGACCCACACCTTGAGAGGTCTGGACCACAGGTCACCATGCTCTTCTCAGGCTGAGGCTACTAGACTTCGACTTACTGTCAAAAATGGACAAGGGGTATGCCAGGAAATGCCCATTACCTGGGTGCCAGACATACACTACCTTGTCCCCATTGGGTAATAAGAGCCCTACTGCCTTTCAAATATCAAGGTCATTTACCTCTACAAGCACTTTCCTGGCCCCAGGTCATTTGGCCTGAGGAACCCAGGCATTAGTTGTAGTTCAGAGTTTAATAGGACTCTTGCTATGTCCATTGCTAGAAGCACTTTCCCTTCAGGAATTAGGACTCAGAACACAGAGTCACAGGGACAGGAAGCAAAAATTCCCCAGTTAGTAAGTGGAGCCTATTCTCTCCACCCCCACCTTGGTTTTCAGGTAGAGCAGTTTCAGGGGCTTCTACTTAGTCTTCCCCAGCACATTAGATCAAGTTGGGACCTGAGCCAACTACCAGGTATTCCATTCCAATGACATATTCAAGGACCAGGGAAATGAACATTTAGTGGGTCTGTGAACCCAGTGGACACATTGTGAACTGGACCTGGGTCAGGACTCCATTTATTTATTAATTTTGTTTCCATATGCCTTCACTCAGGGTCATGAGCCTTTATATACCCGCATTGATTAGTCCTTTGATTCAAGATGTTCCTGGGAAGAAAGTATGACCTTGAATGAGACAGTTCTTTTAAGTCTGTGGCAGCTATTTTCAGCCAATATGGCTTGCTTCAGCTGAGGACAATCTGGAGAGAGGCTCAGCTGGGAGTTGCCAGTTGCCAATCCTCTCAGCAGCTGGGAGACTGAACTGCTTCAGTTTTGAAGTGGTGGTAATCTGGGCAGCACCTCACAGCATTCACTATAATGGGTATGTTTTCTATATTCCTAATTAAAGAGGAAACCCAAGTATCATTAGTAACATTGGTATCACTCTTATGTTTCATAGCTCTAATTGAAGGCAATATTGGGCATTTATTATTGTCAACAGATAAATGGGCAATTCAGCTACAATAGTTGGCTTCTGAAAAATGCTTTTGAGTTCACTGAATTTACAAGACACTTGCCAGATTCTACCTTCTGTTTATGGCATAAAGAAATAAGTTGTTTCTGAATTATCATGTCTTAACTATTTTAAAGTTTGTATATAGGCAATCGATTGGATAACTACATGGCTAGTCTATTTTGGTCATCAATATGAGCCAAAATGCCAGAGCATATACATGTAGATATCCAAATGATAATCAGTGGTTCACTATAAATAACAATTGAAAAAAATGTGAGCCATATTTAGATCCATCTAGGTAAGCCATGTGATTATAACCTAAGAATTACACCAGTATAACTCTTAACACCTCATGTACGTTCTTTGCTTCCTAATTGTGAAGAACTCCTATCCTGTTGAGAAGAAGCAAGAGGAAGACACAGAAAGTTCTTAAGACACATTAAGCAGTTAAGTAAATGGTTCTTGATGGGATATAAGTCTCCATAGGTCTCACGTTTCAGCCCATCTTGAGAGCAGAGGCATTGAGTGCCGTTGTTCAAAGATATTTGTATAGCGACTAGCTTTGGAAGATAAAGATAGTTAGGAAGAGATGGAGAAGCAGTAGATCCATTGTAGGAAATAAGCATGAGCGCCATAAAGGGAAATAAAAAGACCAGTTGGAAAAAAGAACTGAGTGCAGGTAAGGAATACAGTAGAAATCCTCTTACATAATTAGGACCATTATCTGGTTCATTAAAAAAGCCAAAGAATGGCTCATAAAAGATAAACTGTGTATCTCTTAAACAAAATGTTTAATATATCCACATGTACATTTACTTAAAAATATTTTGTTGGAGAGTTAAGGCCTTCAAGCATGACTCACATTCTGGCTCTGTTCATTTATGGCTGTGCAACCTTAGATAAGGTATTTAATGTTTCTGAAAATCAGTTTCAATTAGTTTGTGAAATTAGTTGCTTTGATGATAAAAATATATGTATGTATATATATGTGTATATATATAAAATACAAAATATAATCTATACATGTCAGTGCTTACAAATAGGGAGCCCTCAGTTAATACCAGGTATTATTTTCATGACAATTATTAATATAGACCAGTGAATCATAAACCTGAGTACGCATTAGAATCATCATCTGGAGAGTTTGAGAGAGAGAGAGAGAGACAGAGATGGAGACAGATACACACACACAGAATATGGGAATAAATGAATAGAAATAATATTTAGGCCTCATTTCAGACCAGTCAAATTAGATCTTCAAGTGTGAGGGCAATGTTAAAATCTTTCAAAATCTCCCCCGGATCCTTCTAATGTGCCTTCAGGGTCAAGGACCACTGATGCGGACTAATGTATTAGCTATTCCAAGTATGTATTAGGAAGTACAGAAGAGCAATATTTTATAGTTCCTGACTTTACCTACTGACTCATTCATTCAAACTATGTTTCTTTTGGTCCTCTCTTGGACAGTTGGGCCAACTTCTATTTTACTACTTATAAATCCTTCTACCTAATCAATTACCTCTTACCTGGGGCTTTCTTGTTCAACCATACTCATTTCTATTACTTTATTAAAATTATTGAGTTATAGAGACATGCAGTCACTACATATAAAATACATATGTACACTTTAGCAAGTATACAGCCAGCAATCATGTGACTACCCTCTGGCTCCAAAGCAGGATATTGCCGGCAATGCCATTGTCTTGGTTTCTCCTCATAATGGCAATTCAGCCTGTCATTCCCAAGAGTAACTACCATATTGACTTTCATGGTGGTCATTTCTTTGATTTTTTTCTTTAGTTTTACTACTTCTGTATACATCTCTAAATAATATGGTTGGTGTTGCTTATTTGGGAGTTGTATTTAAATAGAATGATACTATATGTATTATTTTGTGCCTTGCTTCTTTTGCTCAACATTAATTTGTAAGATTTAAACTTGTTATTGTATAGAGCTGTAGTTCATTCATTTTCTTATATTAAATACTATTCTAGTATATGACTAAGTCATCACTTATTTATGTAGTCAATTTATGGTTATTGGGTCATTTCTAATTTAGGGCAACTGTGAACAATGACTCCACATGCACATTTCTTTAAAGCACTTAAGAGTAGAATCACTGGGTTGAGTATTATGCATATCTTAAATTCTACTAGATAATGTCAACTTTTTTTCCAAATCAGTTGTGCCAATTTATACTGTCAGTGATGATTTCTTCTGGAATCTAGTTTCATTTTCTTTGTGTGATCATTTCAAAAACTAAGTGATTTTTTTAAACTCTATACTGAATATTTTTGTTTTTATAGGAACATGAATGTAAACTGACTCAGGAAATTTTAGAATTGATTGACAGAGAGGTTGACCTTATGATGAGAGGAGTCAAACATTATAACCTTGAAGGACTCAGAAAAAGAATTGCAACACTCTTTTTTCATTACATCAAAACACCTCTGTTTAATCCAGAAGCTGCGAGACACCTTAAGGTACTCTTATTTTTTTTCCTGTATTTCTTTTCTCAAAATTCAAAGACGTGCTATAGTAAATGGAAATATATTCAAATTTTGCTTGAACACTTTACTTGGGGTCCATGTGAAGGACCTCAATTGATGAAATTTCTTTCGAATGATTATTTTTTATGTTGATAAATTTATTTAACTTCTGCATCTATACTTCCAACCTTGAGTTCTTTCCTAATCTCTGAATCGAATTTCCAGTTGAATATTGCACTATGTTGAATGCATCATGATCTCAGACCTTCATGCTTTTGCACGCTCTGTTGCTTCCACCTGGAATGCTGTTCCCTACTTCACTCAGCCAACTTCTGTTCATTTTCTGACTTGATTCACATGTGCCCTCCTTCATGAGGCCTCAGAGAGAGTTCACCTCTGCATCTCTGAGACTCTACATTCACCTTGCTTGTATTCCCTTAGAATACTTATCACATAATTATAATTATCACTGAACAGATCTATGTAGATATCTTGAGAGAGCATCAAACATAACTTGTATTGTAATTAAACTACCTTCTCCAACTCCAACATGTTTAGGCTTCAGTGAGGATTTTGCTCTCTAAAGCCAAGATAAGTGCCTTATTGCCTTCTTACTGTGAAAAACTTTTAAATACTTTTAGTATAAAAGTTTGGAGGGGTGGTTTACTAAAGAATTTTAAATAGTGTTTTATTCTAGTGATTACTTTCAGTTATAATGTATTTAAGAAGCTGATTAAACATCTGTTGCTTTTGTGACAAACAAAAATTTCAATATTTGGTCAAAGCTTTTAGAAAAATAAAAATTGTTTAATTTTTATAGTCTTTCTTTTTTAATGAATTTTTAAAACTTAATTGTATTGCAAGAGAATATTAAACTATAACAAAAGTCCAAAAGAGAAGTTGCCTATTATATTATTTCTTATTCAAATCAAGTTTTCATTTGTTCAGGCTACCTTCTAATCCTCTATAGATTTATTCAGTTTTTATATGTTTGCAGTAATATAATCAAATTTTATATTCTACACGTTCACATAACGTTATACCATTTTATTCACCTTTTAAATTTACCATTGGCAAAATTCACTCTTTTTGGTGAGTTTTGACAAATGCAGAGAGTCATGTAACTAACAGCGCAATCAAGATAAAAAAGTCTTATTATATCTCCAAATTCCCTCATGCTGCTACTTTGTAGTCAACCTTTCCTTTGGCCTCCTAATCTTTGGTAAACACTAATTTTCATTTTCTTTGTATAGTTTTACCTAACCCAGAATGCCATATAAATGGACTCATACTATATGTAGTCTTTTGAGATTGTCTTTCTTCATTTATCATATTGCATTTGAGATTCATCATGTTTCTGAGTGTATCAGTAGCTTGTATTTTTATTGTCTGGAAGTACCAGAGTTTGTTTATCCATTCACAGTTGTAGAACACTGAGTTGTTTAGAGTTTTGGGTTTTTGTGAATAAAGTCACCACAAACATTAGATAATCAGTTTTTGTGTAAATCGATTGTTTTCAGTTAAATACCTATGAAGTAGGATTTTTGAGTCATATGGTAAATGCATATTGACCTTTATGAGATGCTGCCAAACTTTTTCCTCAAACTGGCTGTAGCATATTGCATTCCTATCTGCAATGTCTGAGAGTTCCAGTTGCTCCACATCCTTGTCAGCATTTGGTATTGTCAGGTTTTATTTTAATTTTGGAATTCTAATAGATGTTTAGCAGTATCCCATTATATTTTAATTTCCATCTTCCCAATGACTAATAGGCATCCCTTTATGCACTTTTTTTTGCCATACATATATCCTTTTGGTGAACTGTCTGTACATATCTTTTGCTACCACCCCTGCCTTTTTTTAGTTATTTGGATTATTTATTTTCTCATTTAATTCTGAGAATTCTTTATATATTTCACTTACAAGCCCTATGTAGGATATATAATTTGTAAATATTTCCTCTCAGTTTGCGGGTTGTTTTTTCATTCTCTTAACAATATCAACAGATCAGAAGTTTTTGATTTTGACGAAGTTGAATTTTTGCATTTTGAAAATAGATCATGCTTTTGGTATTTGCTTTGTATTTAAGAAATTTTTTTTGGATGAATTAATATTGTTAAAATGTCCATACTACCCAAACTGACCTACAGATTCAGTGTAATCCCTATCAGAAGTGCAAAGACATTCTTCACAGAAATAGAAAAAATATCCTAAAATATGTATGGAACCACTAAAGATCCTTAGTAGCCAAAGCAATCTCAAGAAAGAACAAAGCCGGAGGCATCATATGTCCTGATTTAAAACTATGTTACACAGCTATAGTAATCAAAACAGTATGGTTTGAGCATAAGAAGAGACACATAGATTAAAGGAACAGAGTAGAGGGCCCAGAAATAAACTTACACACATATGGTCAACTAATATTTGACAAAGGAGTCAAAACGTGTAATGAGGAAATGATAATCTCCTCAACAAATGGAGCTAGGAAAACTGAATAACTAAATGTAAAAAAATGAAATTGGACCCTTATCTCACACCACGTACAAAAACCAATTCAAAATGAATTAACAACTTAAATGCAGGACCTGAAACTGTAAAACTGCTAGAAGAGAAAAAAGCTTTTTGATATTGGTCTTGAAAATGACTTTTTAGTTATGGCATCAAAAGCAAAGGCAACAAAAGCAAAAACAGACAAATAGGATTGCATCAAACTAAAAAGCTTCTGCAAAACAAAAGAATCAATAAAATGAAAGACCACCTACAAAATGAGAGAAAAATATTTTAAAACCATATATCTGGTGAGTTAATATCCCAAAAACATTATAAGGAACTCTTACAACTCAATAGCAAAATAATTTTAACCCTGTTTAAAAATGGGCAAAGGATATGAATAGACATTTTCCCAAAGAATAGACAAATGGCCAACATGTACATGAAAAAGTGCTCAACATCACTAATCATCAGGTAAATGAAAATCAAAACTACGATAACACTTCACAAATATTTGGCTATTACCAAAAAGATAAGTGGTTGGCAAGGTTGTGGAGAAAAGGGAAGTCTTATGCACTGTTGGTGGACATGTAAATTAATACGGCCATTATGGAGATCCCTCAAAAATTAAAAATAGAACTACCATATGATACCGAGTTTCAAATTTTGAAAATTGCTCATTGATCAAACACCATAATCCAAACCTATTGTTTAGATGAATGAATGAGAAGAACGCTTAGTTTAGTGGGCTTTTATTTATATGTTAATCTAGCTATTGCCTATGAGAATAATTAGCACTAAAAGCCTAAATTCTTCTTAAATATAAGTGCCGAAGTACTTGGAGAGTTTTCTTACTGTTTTGCAGCTCAAAGTCTTTACTTACTAATTTTTTTTTCAGTCGATTAATTTTCTAAATGATATCACTATATCTAAGTGTTGATGAATAATATAGATTTTTAATATTTTGGCAGGGTAAGTGAATACTGCTTGAAATTTAAATTTTATATGGAATAGGAAGTTAAAGGAAAAATATGACTTTAAAAATTAACCAACTTTTTATCTCATTCTAAGATAAGTTAGCCCTAGGTACTTACGTTAGTTAGTATTTAGCTGGGCATTTGTACTTTTCTCTCTCAGTTATATATAGGTGTGTGTGTGTGCACACACATGTGTGTATGTGTATATATATATATATATAATATAAATATGTATATTTTTATCTGTATATATTTTATATACATATAATTTTAAAAAACTATTTAGGTCCCTCAAGACCCACTGAAGTTTTATAAGAAGATTTACTTTTGCTACAGTTGCCAGCTCTACTTGCCTTCTACAGAGTTTGCTATATCGTCTACCTCACACCGCATAGTCCAGTGTCGTAACTGCATTAGCCTTGACAATGAGACTCGACAACGAGAATCATTTTTGAAGTACAAATCTTTACTTCGACGGCTCTACTATTCAGAAGCTAATTATGAAGACGATTCGAAAATTGCTTTCCTGATGCAGGTATGATCAATAAGGATAGCCAATCATTGACGAAATTTGTCCACTGATTTTACAGAAAAGATTTCTGTTTTCCCACTCAGACCTTTTAAAATAATGGATCCCCCGCTGCACCCACATTCTTATACTTTGTAAAACTTACCCTTCTGGCAATTCTAAGTTTATACATACAGACCTCTTTTTTTTTAGTTTCAAGTATATAGTACATTAGTTAGACATTTATATAGTTTATAAAATGATCCCCCTGATTGCTCTTTCTCTCCTCTGGCTCTCCACCTAGCCATTACATTAATGCTGACTGCATTCCCTATGCTGTGTTCCTCATCCCCGTGACCATCTACCAACTACTAATTTGTACTTCTTTCACCCTTCACCCCATTCTCCCAACCCCCCAAACTCCCCTCTCCTCTGGCCGTCACCAGATTGTCTTCTGTATTTGTGAGTCAGTTTTCTTTTTATTCCTTAGTTCTGCATATAAGTGAAATCATACGGTATTTATTTTTCTCTGTCTGACTTATTTCACTCAGCATAATAACCTCTAGGTCCATCTATGTCATTACGAATGGAAGGATTTCATTTTTTTTAATGACTGAGTAATATTCTGTTGTATATATGAACCATAACTTCTTATCCAATCATCTTTTGATAGGCATTTAGATTGCTTCTATATCTTGGTTATTATAAATTGTGCTGCAATGAACATAGGGATGCATATATCTTTACAAATTATTGTTTTGGTTTTCTTTGGATAAATACCCAGAAGTGCAATTGCTGGGTCAAAAGGTATATCCATTTTTAATTTTTTGAGGAACCTCCAGACTGTTTTCCATAGTGGCTGTACTAATTTGCAATCCCATCAACAATGTATGAGGGTTCCCTTTTCTCCACATCCTCACCAACACTTGTTCTATGATTTATTGTTGATAGCCAGTCTGACATATGTGAGGTGATATCTCATTGCATTTCTCTAATGACTAGTGACCTTGAGCATATTTTCATATGTCTTTTGGCTATCTGTATTTCCTCTTTGGAGAAATATCTATTCAGGTCTTCTGCCCATTTTTTAATTGGATTGTTTGTTTTTTTTTGTTGTTGAGTTTATATAGAGACCTCTTGAAAGGTTATATACAGACAACTTTAAAAGTTGTTTCAAGAGTTTTAGCTAATATAGCTTAAATAAAAAGTTTTTAAACAGTTATTTTATTTCCTCTTCCCTCTTTATTTTTACGACAAAAAAGTATTTTTAATAACATTAAGTGAATTGCTTTTTTAAAATTAAATCTCAATTTCTTCATTTATAAAATGGGAATAAAATGACATACAGTAACCCTGAGGATAAGATGATGGTTACCAATACATTTTGAAAGTTACTTAATACCATATAAATGTAAAGTAAAATCAGCAAACTAGAAGAAACATATAGAGTTTACTCAGGATCAAAGATATAGTCATGACTGTGAGACTGATAACATAGTTTGGACTGAATGAATAGAGATTTGGTGAAAAATGAGGAGCTATATGCCCCTGAAAACCTCATGAGTAGTGTTTCTTTTTTAAAAATATACTCAGTATAATTTAATTATTTCCTTAAGTAGTATATAAAGAACTTCTATGTTTAGAAGAAAACATTATTTTTTAAACTTGTTTTGACATGCAGCTGCAAGATATTCAGTACCTGACGGAGAACATCTGGTCATCCCAGTCGGTGCTCAGTGCGTGGAAGGACCTCAATGACCTCGTCATGGTGAGGTGGGATAAGGCCTTGGAGTGGTCCCCTTGGAACTGCATTCTTCTTACCAAAGATGAAGGCGCTGCTCATCTCAGGCTAACAAGTATTGAAGAGGTAAGAAAGTTGAATTTTTGGGGGGAAATTAATCATTGGAATTATTAGAATAACTTGATTGCCTTTTAATACATCTCATGTATAATTTAAATATTCTCATTGAATTGAGAAAGAGAGAACTCATGGATAACAGTAATAAAATACATGGATGGTATCTGTGGCAGAGATTAAAATTAGAAGGAAGCGAAGGCACATAAAAGGCAAGGATAAGAGATCCGGAAGTCTGTACAAGTACTTAACACAATACTACTCTCCCTTGATGATAGCAAATTCAAGCATAATAGGTTCTACAGGAAGTTCCACAGGGCAGGGATATTGTTTAGCTTATTTGTGTCTTTATCTCTAATATCTCTAATGGTACCTGTCACAGACTAGGAGTTTAATAAATATTTGTTGAATGAATAAATAAATATTACTAACATATCGGTTTTATGGAATCTAAAATCCGTCCTTTGATTAATTATCATGAGTCTGTTTAAAAGCACACTGAATTCTCAAGTAAATTTTGTTCATAATTTCGTGCTCTAAGTGGCAATCGTACTGATGGGATATAGTTTTGAGGCTTCATTTTTCATTTACTTCCAACTAACTAGAATGGGGAAAGCACTGTAAAAATTAAATACTTTTTAATTTCAGTAACTTGCAAGATGTGATCTGTAAAACATTCTGATGAACAGAAGTGAGTGGTCCCTGATGAATTCCCAGAGAGCTTAATTTACATTAGTAGCCCAGTCTCCCTACTGCTGATACTGATTCTCTGCCTTCTGCTGATTACATTGCTGTATTTAATTCCATGTAAGACATAAGCTAAGAGAAAATAAATGAATTCAAATGTAACAGTCATTCTGAATAGTGCTATTCCCTGCCTGTGCTTTTATTGGGGAGAGAAAAGGTGTAAAGTGGAGAAACTGGTTAAATTTTTAGCTTTTTTGAAAAATCTTCCAATAGAAGCCAAGCTAAGAAAAATTTCACTTTAGGTATTGAAAAGAACAGCAGCAAGAAATTGAAACTGTGTTAAATATTGTATTTAGCAAACTAAGCTGCCTCATAAATATTTAATCACTGGAGGCATAGCTAATACTAGCAATATCATTTCATCTAGCACCCATAGTGGAATTGGAGTTCATTCCCAAAGCTGATATTCCACTGCTTCTTCAATTAATCCCTACAACTCCCTTTGTGCATTTAATCAAATTACTGCAATACCTAATTAAATGTTCTATTCACATTCAGAATGCTGAGCTTATTGAATTTCTGTAAATAGAGCCAAGGTTCTCAAACAGACAAACTCAAAACAACATTGCCTTCTCTATGGTTTTGGGTTGGTGTAATCTTTAAAGGTATTAATATTCAGCCTGGTGTAATCTCTTAAGTATTAATATTCAGCCTAAAGAATAGTTTATGTCTTACAGGAAGTTAAAGCATTTCCAGACTTTCCTTAATAAACAGATATTTGTTTTTTCAGTAAGTAAAAAAATACTCAAAAGTTAAAATAAGGTTGACTGCCTGCAATCACGGCACAAGTTATCAGAAAAGCATGGAAAAAACTTCCGTTTTCTGAACTGTAAATGAGGCAGATCAGTTTCTCATAGTGTGCATGCACATTGGCCAGAATAGGAACAATAGTGAACTTACAGTCGAGAGGCCTGACCCAGTGGTTTCTCATTCCTGTCACCAACAATCTGAATGACAGTAAGGCCTGCCCTCTTTGCTTCGTAAATTTTTATAAAGGTTAGCTAAAAACATGAAATCAGTATGGAGGATAGGAGCAGCCCTGACTTTGAATTCTGGCTCTATCACTTATGAGCTGGGAGAAGCTGGGCAGGTTTGTTAGTGTCTCGGTGCTCTGGTTTTTTCATCTATAAAAAGAGGGTAATAGGTGTTGGCCGTCTTTTTATATTATATTATTCTTTAAGAGTCGCTTATCATTCCTTTAATTATACATACCATAATATACTTATCTCATCTCTAAGGATTACATTTTGGCTCTGTAGAGGTACTTTGAAAACCTATAAAGTCATGTACATGTACAATTGAATATTGCATAACAGAAAATGTTAATTTTTCTTGAGTAAATATGGGCTAAGAAGTGATGGAACAAAGTTAGTTTAATGCAGAAGGTGAGTCTTTTGGCCTGGAAAATTTGTCTGTGCAGAGGAAACTCTAAAATAAGCCCAGGATAGTCCTACCTACCACTTTCTGCAAGAATATCTTACCTTTTGGCTCTTGTCCTCCAGGGCTTTCTTTACCTTTGATTTGACACTATAGAGGGATCACACTTAGTGACGGAAAGTCTTACTCTCAGAAAATAAATTTTAGGAGAACCTATAGGTAGTATTTATGATTTGGTTGAAAAGAAGAGTCAATTAATATTAATAAAGAGAATAGGTGGCATTTATTAATTCAACCAGAATTTACTTTGGAATGTGCTAGATACTGTGCTAAGGGCTTAGAGAAAAACAATTCTTTATTGTTTGAGTTATTCCATTCGAGTTCAGCTGCCAATAATAGACTAAGCGGTTTATAATGACTTAATCAAATATGGGATTAGTTTTCTTATAGAACAAGAAGTGCAGAGGTTGGCTTTGTGGGACTAGTTTGGTGTCTCTCCAGTGGTCTCACAAACCCAAGCACTCTAATTTTCCCCTTAGCCATATTTAACTTTTAGCTTTTGTCTCTCGCTTGAGGACTCTTAAGATAGCTCCTTCATTGTCTGCACTGTGTCCACCTCCCAGGTATGTCAAAAGCCTAAAGGTGCTTGACAGGCGACTCTTTCCACACCTGAAGTGCTTTCCTTTAAATGCTGTCCAGTAACGTCCACTACATATGTGTTTGTATAATGGCCAGAAACTTGTTACATGGACACCCCCAGCTAGCATAAAGACTAGAAAAGCTGCGCATATCACAAAACACAAAATCAGACCTCTAAATGTAAATGGAAGAAAGAATGCACATTGGGTTGGCAGATAGTCATCTGCCACTCTCATTAGAAAACAGACTGTCTTATAGCAATATGGTATTGCCACATGACAGAAAGGTCACAATGCTGTTAAAGCTGTGGACAGATAAGCCTAATAATTTATTACAAACAAGCAAAAATGGAGAGGCAGAAAGACTTGATATGATAATGTTGTTTTCTCTTAGAAGCTATAAGACAAACAGTGCAGTGGCTCATAAGGTGATCTGAGGCAGTTAAAAGGGTGACCAAATGACGGCCAGAGGGGAGGGAGGGTTGCAGGGCTGGGAGAATGGGGTGAAGAGTTAAAGAAGTACAAATTAGTAATTGATAGACGGTCACGGGGATGGGGAGCACGGCACGGGGAACGCAGTCGGTGGGAACGTGATGGGCTGGGTGGAGCCAGGGGAGACAAGGAGCAATCGGGGATCATTTTATAAACTATATAAATGTCTAACCAGTGTACTGTTACTAATAATAAGGTAATTTTTTTAAAAAAAAAGGGTGACTAAAGAGAAGTTTACATTGTCACAATACCAGCATGATCTTTATTTTGAACTCGAAAGAAGGACCAATTTTAGAAAAAAAAAATCAAGTTGGTATTTGGATCAGCGTTGAAATAGGCTCAAAGAGAGAACCAACTTTACACAAGTGCATTCATTCAAAAATATTAAATATTTACATTATGGTGCCGAGAGACACATTTATGAAATAGACCCATTTTGAGCCTTCAGATTTCCTTTACCATGGAAGAGACTCTCAAGAAGATAGTGAAATTCAAGGCAGAATGAACTAAATATTACAATTAAAATACATAAAAGTATGTGCAAGTACAGGGGAAGGAGGGGTTGTTTGGACTCAGAAGTCAGAAGGAGAATTGGAAAGGCTTGTAGGTGAAGTGTCATAGGAGCTGAGCCCCGAAAGATGATAGACAAAGTGGGAAACAATGTATTCTGGGCAGAAAGAGCTGATAAGCAAAGGCACTGAGGCATGAAAGTGTTTTTACTTGGCAAAATATATTTGTGACATTTAATAGAATTTGACTTTTTTTTTTCTTTTCAGGGATATGAACCCTTGTTTATTCACAAGATCAAACACAAACATATCCTGGCTAAGAACTATTTTTCTCAAATCCCACTGCTGGCTTCATTTATGCTTGATGATGATGAAATAGATGAGATCAGAAAGAAATATCACACAGAAACAACACCTAAGATAATAGAATCCCAGAGTCCTTTTCCTTAGAGGACCTGGGAGTATTTGTTTGATGATCGGCATTTTTGTCCACTGCTAATAGAGTAATACAGAGGTCACACAATATGGAAATAGAATTTTATCTTTTTATTGATTTTAATTGTTTTTCATAGTGTTGGAAGTTGTGTGAAGAGAAAACATTCCTGTATACATGCTTTATTGTTATACAATTAATGTTAAATTGAAATATAATTTTGTTACTAAAATTAATAAAGAGAACATTTTACGTATTTTCACATTAATTTTTTTTAATTTTAGGTGCATTATAGTTAAAACGAACAGATAAACACAAGCTAAGCTTAGCTTTCAACCCATGAAATTTTTTTTAGATAAAATGTAGTTATAGAAGAAAAGTCAGTGTATGGGTAGGAGGAAACAGAATTATCTTTCTTGAAAATCTTTACAGGTAGAATAAAAGACACTATGTTTTAATATAGGGATCTGAATTTTCACTTTTTATTTTCTACTTTCACCTTCCATCCTTTTCAAAATCTCAAAAGAACTGAAACTGTTTATATACAAACAAGCAAAAGATACATTCCATGCTGGAATGTAAACAGGGGAACTATCTTTTATCTCATGGGAGAAAAACTTCTAGTGAGGCAATGAAGGAAATTCTGTAGGAAGAATAAACTTGATCAAGTAAACTATGACAATCCTTTTCTATAATAAACCTTGACCACTTGCTTGTCAGAGACCTACAATGATGAACACGAGTGCATGAGTCAGTCTTAACAGAAAAGTAGATGGCACACTCAAAATTCAAGGAGAGTTTGTCTACGAAGGAACCTATTATAAAGTGTGGGCAGTGTGTAGGGAAAACTACAGGAATAGTAAGAACCCAGATAAGGTGTCTCTACCCCTAGTCTTGAATGAACCTGGCGAGGGAGAGTTCTGAAAACCTAGAAAGAGAGTATAAAGAAGATAACTGAGAGGTCGATAACCAGCTTTCAAGGGAACAGCCAGTCCTAGGTGATCTCATGAACTAGAGAAATAAATAGTCTGATCTCACACTTCCTTCCTCCAGTCTCCTGCTTGTGTTTCCTGTTGGCAGAAACCCCTGCCCCCTAGTCGTGAAAAAAAAGAAGAAATAGAAGTCTGTTGATAATTCAGGACAAAGATCAGAGTAGATAAGGGGAAGAGTGGATCTAGATAGCTAAATAGAAGATACCCAGCTAGAGAGAAAGAATAGAAAGTGAAGATCTGTAATTCAAGTAGATTTATAATTCAAGAAGATCTATAATTCACACACATGCAACATAATTATATATGTGTGTGTATTTAAGGCTAACAGCAAGGAAGTACATATAAGAGAAAAACAAGATTCAGAATATTGCAGTGCATAAATTTAAATAGGTTAAAATTCTCTTGTTAAGGATAATGATTCTCATGTCAAAAGAGTAAGCTATATGCTGTCTACCAGCTACATACCCCAAATAAAATGACATAAAAAGTTTAAAAATAAAACTGTATCAGTCATATGAAACAGACAACAAAAAATTGGTGGCAATAATATCAAGGATGAATTTGGGAAGAAAAATAGCAGAGTAACAGAAATTATCTTGATAAATTATAATTCACAATAAAAATGAAAAATTAATCTGTTAGGTACAAAAGTAGGTTTAAAAAAATCAGTTGAGAATTTTCTGTAGGCTTCTCATGTTTCTGCAGATCTTTTGATCAGATGCACTAGACTTTTTTGAGACTCGTTTTTAAGGATGTTTGTATAGCAAGCAGTCTGGGAAGATAGAGATAGTGTTTACAGTCCACTATAAAAGATTCAGAGTCTCTAAGCCCAAGATTCCTATCTTGTACTGTAACTCACTGTGTGTGTATGTGTCACCTGGACTTTATGTCACCCTGAGGGAATTAGGGTGATATGCTGATATTCTGGCTGCTGCTATTTCTGTGAACAATAAATTGTGCTTCATCTCTGATCCAGGAGTCTCATGTCTGAAATTATTGCAGATTAACTTGTTAGCTTGCAATCAGGGTAGTAACTCAAACCCTTCAAGGTTCTCAACACATATAACCTTCTAAATGAAAAATTTATTTAAGAGGTAGAAAATGCTGTTTTCCCTTCTCTTTCCAGGAACACTGGGTAATTGCTTGCAATTCTCCACCCTCTTCAAGTAAGGCAGGATATTATAAGATGCTTTGCCCAATGTCACTTTTGAGCGTCGAAGGAACGAATAATTCTAATTCTATAGATATTCTTCTAAGGAATAGAAAAGGAGTGCATATTCCCCAACTCATGAGGCCAGCATACCCTTGGTATCAAAAGTTGACAAGGATAGTACAAGAAAGAAAATGATAGGCCATTTTCACCATGAATATAGATGCAAAAGCCCTCAGCAAATATTAGCAAACCAAGTAAAAGCATATATTAAAAGATAAAACGACATGGCTTTTGCTGGATATTCTTCATTTGCGTCTTCCGCTCTATCTTCTACCCTTCCCTTCTCTCTGCTTTGTGCCCTTGGAGGCTGATCTTTATCCACTGCATCAGTGAGTTCATAGTGTCCCCTCGTTGCATTTGGTCATTAG